GTCCCGCTGCCTCTTCACGCGCGCTCGGCTCGGCTCGGCTCGGCTCGGCTGCGGGTTGTCCTGGGCACACGGGGCACCGCTCCAGGGAGCGAGAGCCCCGCCCCGCCCCGCCCCGCCGTGGGGCCACGGGCAGGACTGGTCACCGGGGCCGGTGCGCACCCTCTGCGGGCCTGGGGACAGACCCTACCTGGCTGCCGCGCTCGTCTCCACCCAGCTGCATCCTGGGGAGCAAACAGGTAGTGAGGGTCCTTCCTTGGAAACCTGTGGAGATTTTTAGTCGCGTGGCAGGCTGCCCCGGGGCTGTTTCTCGCCCCGCCGTGGGGCCACGGGCAGGACTGGTCACCGGGGCCGGTGCGCACCCTCTGCGGGCCTGGGGACAGACCCTACCTGGCTGCCGCGCTCGTCTCCACCCAGCTGCATCCTGGGGAGCAAACAGGTAGTGAGGGTCCTTCCTTGGAAACCTGTGGAGATTTTTAGTCGCGTGGCAGGCTGCCCCGGGGCTGTTTCTTTGACAGTCTTAGAAGGCAGCTCAACCAGCGGTTCTCGGCCAGGCGGCCGTGAGATCCTTTCAGGGAGTGCCACGCGGCATTAGGTTTACAAACCCGATTCACATGATGAACCCGGTGGTTTCAAAGGGGAAGCTGTCGTATTAAAACCATCTGGACTTGCTGTGAGCTTTCTGAGGTTTTTTTTTTTTCTTCAGCAAAACCAGCGCTCTGTTATTTTTCCGTAGTGAAAAACAAGTGAAAACTAAGAGCTGGCATTTTCCATGGGGTGCCTTGCATGTCTTGAGGGGTGCCTGGAGTCTAGCAAGGCCAGGGACCACAGAGCTAAACAGTTTAACAGCTTGCAGTGCAGCATTAGAGGGTGTCACTGGAGATCTATACTTTGTTTTTTATTGCTCTTCCCTGCTCTTTTGAAAAGCTGGATGTTTGGAAGTTAGGTCCAAACTGTTTCACAGGCCAGTCCAGGTGGATTGACTCACAAACTGACCTCAGGTTTGTCTGAACGGTCAGCCTGAGCCAAGTCAGTGTCTTTTACATCTTACCTTCCTGATTAACTGGAAGATAAAATAATGGCAAAAATAAGCAGTTGGATTCTGCTTATATAGCTGTGTGTTGGATAATACATTTGCCATGGAAAAAGCCAGCATATGTAGAATGACCAGGCTGAATTAGATACCTGTCTTGTGTGCCAGGAGGCAAGCCCATGATGGCACTCAGAAAACTCTGTAAATCTTCTATGCATCAAGGAAGAGATTTTGCTATCGCACACAAATCCTGCCTTTTGGATTTTTAGTGACGTTGTCCACTTCTATGAATGGGATAGGATTTGGAGAATGCCATTTTCTGTGTCATTGTCACTAGCACTACCCGGACTATTACAGTATTATGCTGGTGTGTTTACATATGCCCTTTAATGCGCAGTAGCTTATTTTACTGCATGTTAAAGTGTCACATCAAAAACCATGCTAATATGTTAATGCAGAGTAAAAATAGGCTTCTGCATGTTAAGCATCACTAAAAAAGCATGTGCTTTCACTACTGTGCATTAGGGCAGCTTAATGAGCATTAATTATTTACCTCACATTAGAGGTACTAAATTTAATGTGCAGTAGCAAGAGCGCATTAATGAACATGTAGACACGGCCTTTGAGTCAGAGAGATAATCAGAGGTAGCATGATAGAGGGAAGACAGATAGCCCAGACAAGCAGGACTGCTGGAATGCATCCACAGCTGGAGTCTTCTGGCTCCATCTCCAGTAGTAGCATTGATGCAGCTGGCTAGCACTCACTCATAGGAGCACCAAATACCAGGCAGTGTGTTTGCATATTTTCTTGCTGAAGATCCAGTTGTAGGCATCTCTGAAAATGTGAGTTACAGTCAGCCACAGTAATTGTTAATTCTGCTATCTCCAGGCATTTAATTCCTTGAAACAGCTGCCAGAAAATACTTGTTGGTTTTGTGAGGTGAGGGAGTGACAGTAAACACTTACTATGTAAATTGAGGCACAGAATGATTGATATCTTCCTGTCTGTGCAACCGGTTACAGAATCAGGTGGCCTGTCCTTGTGAAATGCTGTGAATAAATTCATACGATAATTTATATAGGAGGATGTTTATTATTAATCCTGTGATTTTTTTTTTTTTCCCTGCAGGGTTTTCACTAGCCTGAGAAGGTCGTATTCAGAATGTTTTGAAGTGCAGAAAAAACCTATGCCTCATTCCTTTATATGCTTTATGCATATGGTGCAATGGTACTCCTGCTTACCAGAGTTTACTGGGGATTCAGTGTCTTGTCTGAGATCATTGCATCTTCTGCTATCTCTACAATTCTCACAGTAAGATCACCACTATCTAAGAATTTTCTGGCAAGCCCTAAAAACACAGCCAACCATCTTTCTGGTTCCCAATCTCTCTGTGTATGAGGGCACGCATTGGATAACGTCTACTGCCTTCTCACATAATCAGATAGGACTTAGTATCAGTTTTAATCAAAGAGGAAGACTGGAGGCTATTTCCTCCAGAGTTTATTGAGACAGGAAATTTCAAAAGAGAAGCCCACCTTTCATATCATTGTTTTCCCTGTATTTAACATCACCAAGCCTCTAGACATGCATTGTACAGCGCCTCTTAAAAACAAGATTGTCTTGGGGACATCTTCTATCCCTTATTTGATTCCCTGTTTTTTATTACTTTCTCTGCTAGTCACATAGTAACACCTCTCATTAGTAGTCAGAGCAATGACTTAAAAAAATATTACTTAGCAGCTGGGAAGTAGTATGGCTGGAATCATATGACCATTCAATGCCCTGTTAACCATTAGCAAGTGCTTCATGGATGACGGGTTTGGAAATCGTTTCCATCTCAAATTGTTTTAGAAACATTTTTAATACACATTTTAAATACCCTATCATGTTATTAAATAAAGCTAATGTTATTATCCCCATTTTACAAAACTGGGGGAAACACAGAGCCAATAAAATTGTGATTTTTCCAGGATCACACACAAAGTGAAAAGAAAAACCAGGTAAGATGACTCCTACTCCTGTATTTTTTGCCATCTTTTGTTCAACTTTGTTTTCAAGTTAGGTTCTATGGTTGAGTGGCAAAACAGGAAAAGAGGCATGACCATAAACAAACAACAAATCCTATATTTCATTACCTTTCTCTCATAGTGTAACATGATACTAGGATTAAGGCAGAATGTACAGTTTCATCTCTGCAGAATGATTGTTGTCATTTTTATTCTCATTTTGGGCTTTTACACTTTCCTTGATTTGAAAAAATAAATATAAATGGCTTTGAACAATGAAATGCAGGTTATTGGTCTTGTCCTGTCACATAAGTTTCTACAGTTATAGAACAGCCAGTTCTCAGCATGAGCAGTGACAGCTGGCTGGCTGCTTAACACTAATGTGTAAAGAGACATGAAAACTGCACTTTCTGTTCTGTGATCCAAACTCATTTAAAATATGACTTAGACTCTTGTTATACCTCTCATAGCCCTTTTCTTATATTTGAGAATTAAAATACCAGAAAGAAATTACTTTATGTAAACAAATAACTGAAAAGCCGAAATCGTAACATCTGCCTTTGTAAAAGCCTTTGTTTAATGCACCTGCCTGAATCTCCATCAGAAAAATAACTTTAAACCAATCTTATAAGCATTGATTTTTTGGAATCAAACAAGAAATAACCCACATGACCAAATCCTAACATGATTATTCTGCAGCAGCCCCCATTGGCTGCATCCAGATGAGCATGGCCGTACGGTATGTGGCACTGCAGACCTGTCTGTATAACCGCACGCTGCACATTCAGGTGTTTCCTGCACTGCTACCTTGTAGCACGCGTTTGTTTGGTTTTTTTGTTTTGTTTTGTTTCATTTTTTTTGACACTGGGAGAGTAACTAAATCCTTGGACGATGGTGTCGCCGTGGATGTAGTCTTTCTAGACTTTAAGAAAGCCTTTGACACTGTCTCTCACCCCATCCTCATCAATAAATTAAGCAACTGTGGCATTGATGCCTACACAGTTGGATGGGTAAAAAACTGGCTGATGGGGCGCACCCAGACAGTAGTGGTGGACGGATTGTACTCAACCTGGGCAAGATGTGAGGAGTGGGGTACCCCAGGGCTCGGTCCTTGGGCCCGCACTGTTTAACGTCTTCATCAGCGACTTGGATGAGGGGGTGGAGAGCACACTGTCCAAGTTTGCTGATGACACTAAGATGTGGGGTGAGGTGGACACACTTGAAGGGAGAGAGAGGCTGCAACTAGATTTAAACAGACTACAAAAGTGGGCAGATGAGAATAGGATGGGGTTCAACGTAGACAAATGCAAGGTGCTGCACCTTGGGAGAAGGAATCCACAGCATACATACAGGCTGGGGAGTTCCCCTCTTGAAAGCACAGAGGCAGAAAGGGATCTTGGAGTCATTATTGACTCCAAGATGAACATGAGCCGCCAA